GTTGGAATTTACGGGCTATAAGTGGAGATTACATAGGGACTGCAGGGATCCCCTCTGACATTAGCTACTGCCCACCGGTAATTTCCCTGAACCCTAAACCCTAAACCCCAACCCCTAAACTCTAAACCCCAAACCCCAAACCCTAAACCCCAAACCCCAAACCCTAAACCCTAAACCCCAACCCCTAAACCCTAAATCCCCTAGATCCTAAACTCTAAACCTTGACCCTGTGAGTCAGGTACATCGCGGGACTTGCAGGTCTGCCCCTGCAGCGGGTAGTGTTAGAAAGTTTTTAAAGAATGAGGTCATTCCGGAGACAAAGGATTTCTGGCGTGTTCAAGGCATGAATGAAATTGGGGGAGGTGCCCTTGTCTCATCGTGATCTTATTCTTGGACCTTCTCCAATGATCCAAAGCTTGCGGAATCCCTGGTAGAAGTTGTTTACGCTCTTTGTTTTGCAATCTGGGCTATTCTCAAAATTATGGGCGTCTTTTGGTTACATATCATATTACGGGACCCTAATTTCGGGAACTACCCATCTAGTATCACGGTTCTGGGCGGGCAGTCTGCCCCCCAACAGCTTGCCCAACGCCGAAATTTCCCTGCCCAGGCTGAGAATCGTGACAATACTGAAGCCGTTTTCAGTATCACCTCAGCCTCTCCATGCTTGGGGGACACATTTTTTGCTAAGTAGGGTCTCGCCCTTAACCCGCAGAATAATATCGAAGCCTGAACAACTGGGAAGGTTCTCGCCTTAAAGCCCCTCTTAAATTGGAAGCATTGATTGCCCCAAAGCCCTATTCTCATTCAATCAGCTTCAAGCTTAGCGCCTTGCTCCGCGCCGCGCCATGTCCATGTCGCTAAGTGTTGCACTTTTAAGCGGCCACCGTGCAGACGTGGCGCTCAGCTCGAAATCGACGGTTGATCCGTGGCGAGATTATGAGTTTTGGGGTGTTGGGTGTATGACGATTTAGGTACAGGGTTTTAGCGGCGGGGGCCAGTTGTTGAGTTCGTGGAACATTGAGTAGCAGAGCTAGGATATGGCAGTGCAGATCTAGGATTGGGTGTGGAGTCTCAAGTTTTGGGGTGTAAAGGACGGATATTAGGGCTGAGCTAGAGGCCCAGAGACAAGGGATTAACAAGGGGTATCAGGCGTCCACCCAATCTGTTGGGAGAATTGTGAGTCCTAGCCCCACAACCCCGCCTGCTCAGATTGCTTTTGCAAGGCCTGACTGCCCCAAAACCCCAACAGCCCTGAACTTGAAAATCCGGAAAGCTAGACATCCCAATCCCCAAAGCCTCACTTCCAATAGCCTCAGGACGAGCTGAGAAAGAAGGCCCAGATAGACCCTTCGATGCAATCCAGCCTGGTTGCAGGGTAATTATAGATCTGCAATGTAATTTGATATGTTATTTTCCCGGATTTTCAAAGTGTGTAGTTGCCGTTTTTGGCGACTGCGGTGGTGCCGGTGGTGCTGGCGGAGGCGGTGGTGGACGGCTGCAGGGCAGGATACAAGGATCCTCAAAAAGTGCAACGTTCGATCTATTTCGCAATACATTGCTGTCAGAATTGGCAGTGAGATCAAGGCAAATACCAAAAATGACGGGAACAATGGTAACACAAGAGCTGGACCAATACTGCAATCGTCATTGTCATAGCACGAACAGTAAGTTTCTCAATGTTAAGGTCCGCCAGTCTTCGGTAAAGTCCTAGTCATAGGGACGCCAGCAAGCGACTCTCACGTTTGGCACATCCATATCATGGTAGCAGTATTGAAGGTGCTGGGCTGCCACTTGAGCCAGCTGATTGATTCCTCCGGCAATTGCTTGGCAGGAGCGGGGTTACAAGGCAAGGGTTTGGAGGATTAGATAGGATCTCAGGACTATCCTTACCGAATGTCCATGCAGAATAACAGGGCCAGACCCATTAAAGCCCACATTTCATGTACTCCCAGTGGGCGCCGGTGGGTGGTGGTGCCTTCTCGAATTGTGTCAAGGCCTCAATCAGGCCTTTATAAGGATAGGTCTCCAGTAACCCCTAAGCCCTAAACTGGGTGGCACTTTTAACAACTTCCCCAATTTTTGTATAAGAGAACTTAAGCATACATGATTTTGGGGGGCCTTGAAATTCCACCTACTAAGCCTTTCACGAGCCTCCTGGAGCCACTGCAAGCCGGAAGGAGGAAGCTTAATCGAAGAGGCCGGCCTTGTGGAGGGGGACACGGTCAGCGCTCCTCGATTCTTCTGATAGGCTTGCTTTAAACTCTAGTCTCCTCAGGATTTATTTAGAATGTTTTTTATAGTATGACCTAAGGAATTCTTAGCGATATTATGTTTGGTTCATTATAGGTCTAAGGAGACTACAGTAACAGGTATGTCCTGAAATCAGTTTGTAGTCTTGGCGAAAGACTCCGATAAGGGCGTTCTTTTTTTTTTGGTGGGGAGGGTTCAATTGCCGACTCAGCACTACAAGTCCGAACATGGAGGTAGCCGGCAGTCAACTTTGATGATTGTGTCCATTTCTTAAGCGTTCTTTTTCGAAGAGGTCGCCAAAAGCAAAGACGCGCAGGAACACATTAGATATGAGGGCCTGTGAAACAAGCTTCCCTGAAGGCGCCTACATGCAAGTAGTACGACCATGGCATATCCCAACACCCTGTGCTGTACGGGTCGATTATTTACAGCAGGGGCAGGATTATGCCGCAACAGTAGTAGCAATCGTTACGCTGGTGGTGACAGTAAGATCTAGTTTAAAGAAGCACGGGTAGTTGCATTCTTATTGTTCCATGGTGATCAGCCTGCCTAGGCTATTGTCCGGGACGCCCAGCTTGCGTCCACGCACACTGCCTTTGCGCTTCTGCGCTGTGACGGCTCAGTGGTGACATGGGGCAGCGCCTACCAGGGAGGTGATAGTGTGGCTTTCCAATCAAAGTTGCAGGACGTGGCGACTTGCTCCTTATGGAACGTTGTTTGTTTGCTCATAAGTCTAGTTGCAAGCAGATTGAAGCTTTTGGATTCGGCGTGCCTCTGGAATATGAGCCACATGTTTGGTGACTTGTCGTCTTCTCAGGCTAGAAGGACCATTGGTGGTCCATAGTGAGTGGAACACCAGACTTTCCGACAGATCTCGACTTTTCTTAGGTCCTTAAGACATACCAAGGTGAAGATTTACTCTTCAGACTATGCCTTTGCTGCCGTTCGCGCCGATGGCTCGGTCGTCACCTGGGGCAATGCCTGTGCCGGTGGGGACAGCTCGTCTGTCCAGGAGAGAGGTTGTCGCCAAAAACAGGGTTTAGGGTTTAGGGTTCAGGATAGGAAGTACCTGGGATTCTGCAAGGAGGACACGGATACCCATTTAGAAGAGGGAAAGGATCCCTTGTGGCTCAATTCTGAACAACAACATGATTTTACATCCGTTTTTCTATTGCATTCTCCATCATCATTCCCATATACCCACTCCCGGAAAAATTCATACATGATATATTCCCAGACTCACTACTAACCACCAGTAAGACAATTGACGCCTCGGTTGCTGTTAAGGAACTTAATTCAAGTTACTACATTGGAAAAAACTTATTACTTACTACATATACCCATTATGGCAATGAATTGAAGCCCCTTAACAGCAACCGAGGAAATCTTCGGCACATAAACCCTAAACCCTAAACCGCGTCAGGATGTGCTGAGAAATGTTCGGCACATAGAGTCCACGGGCCACGCCTTCGCAGCAACCCTCGCGCACGGGTCTGTGGTGACCTGGGGATGCTGGTTTTAGATTTGGATTATACAGGGGTGTTTTAGGGTTTAGGGATTAGAGTTTAGGGATTAGGGTTTAGGGTTTGTAGGGGATTATATAGGGGTTTTTATATAGGGGTTATATAGGGAGAATGGAAAAGAAATGGAAGCTACCAGGTAGGGCCATGTGGGTATTCTGCGGCCCTGTCATTGAATGATTCATTGTAGAGATGTAGTGCTTTTTGTTGCAGGCTGTCCTTGCAACATGTTCGCATACGGCACCAGAATGTTTGTAACTTGCAAAGCAAAAGCAAAGGAAACAGACAATGTGGCGGCGACAGTAGCTCAGTGCAAGACAAGCTGGTCGGGGTGCAGCGCATGTGGGCTTCAAAGCAAGCCTTTGCTGCCGTCAATGTTACTGGCGCAGAACATAACAAGCTTGTACCCGTTTTATTCATGGGCCCTCCCATAACGACACACCCCAAACAGCGGGACTCTTTAATGTGATAATTAGTTTTATGTAGTCTTGCAGGTCCGAAGTTGTCTCTGACAGTGGCCAGTGTACGTCTGATGTGCTTGGTGGGAGGGCCTTTTCGGAGGGGCAGTCTCGGAACCGACCAAATGTCATTTGTGGATGGAGGACACGTAGGACCCCCAAACTACTGCAAATAGTGGGTATAGGGCATATTAGTTGGTGCAGGGTTGCAGTATGAATGACTTGTACCGGAGCTCCCATAATCAGAACATAGCCCAGCATTTGAGCCCTACAGACTCATGTCGCAGCTCCAGAGCCCTCAAAACCCCAACCGTTGTATCACATTTTTTATTTCTAATTTTTACTATTACTACTTTTACTCTTACTAGTAATATTACTATTACACTTACTATTACAATTAAAATTATTATTGGTATTACTTTTTCTAGTACTACTATTATTACTACTTTTTTTTACTGTTATTCTTCTTCTAATATTGCTATTTCTAGGATTGTTATGATTATTCCTCCGCTGCGGCTCGAGGCCAGTGGAGCAGTGATTTCCTGGGGTAGGCCCGCATTTGGAGATGATAGCGGGCCACCTCAAGCCCAGCTGATGCAAGGTGCCGCCCCTACCAGAATACCAAAGTATGTAGAATAAAGGCCTTTTGGCTAGTGGTAAAGGGTTTTGGGCAATTGTTCTACTTACTTTTGGAAGTCCAGGTGAGTAGTATTTTATTTGGGGATACTATGGTACCCAATATAGAGTAAGATTCTATCCTCCTTTTGGTGTTTAATATTTTATATAAGGAATACACTCTTACCAGGTTCAACCACCAAGAAAACATTACTCAGGTACAGGATTTATCTCCTGGAGTCATTTGACTAAGAAGGCTCGTTTTGGTGCTGTACAAATGATATCGTTCGCTGGGGAGCTTCGAGACTTAAAGGTGCCAATGCGCGAGAAACACGAGACACTGCCACGGAGGGTTGAATCCTGTGTTTGGTAAGGCTTTCAGGAGGCAAGGCAAGGTATCTGCAGACAACGAGAGAAGAATATCTACATGAGCTAGAGTCTATACTCCTTAATTAAAGTGGATTACGTAGGGGACTACTTTAGGGGTTATTTAGGGGGATACTAGGAATTTTGATTAAAGCTCATATGAATTCTTGGCACCTGATCTGCAAATCTATAAATGCCTAACCTCTTGATCTCCCTAGATCCGACCCGCATACCTATGTCAAGCCCCCAATCGCAGATCACTTAGACTTACTGGGGGGTAGCAAATAGATTACATGGGCATTATATAGGGATTATATTCCCTATTCCCTACTAACGACCGGGAAGTAGACCCTTGAAAGCATCTTGCAGGTTCCCAGTGAGCTCTTGAAATCTCAACCTGCAGGTTCCTAGGAGAGCAAAGGGATCCATCATAAACACGGGCTCCATCCGCGTCCGACCCTAATTACTTTTCATTCATCTTCTGCTTCTATATACGCCCCTGTATACTCCCTATATAACCCCTCCTAATCCCTACATGACTCCTATATATTCTCTACACCTAATCCCTATATGACTCCTATATATTCTCTACATAACCCAGGTGTCCAGCAGATCTTGGGGTCCGAGTTGGCGTTTGCTGCCGTCCTACTGGACGGCTCAGTCGTGACCTGGGGCGATGGCGACCATGGTGGGGACAGCAGCCGCTCGGCATCTCGAAGTGCTAAGACAGAAATCAGTGTAGAGGGGTTACATAGGGATTATATAGAGGTCATATAGGGCTTTTACAGGGGTTATTCAGGGGTTATATAGGGGTAAGGTTACCTAGGATTTGCCCTCCTTTCTTCAAAGGGCTTGAAACATCATCTTTTTGCTGGGGCTCACAATAGGTTTAGCGTTGAGGGTTGAAGCCTCAACCCTGAGTAGTCAAACGTGAGCTGTCAAGCCTGGCGCTAGCAGCCTGAACCGGCCTCAGCGGCTGCCGGCGCTTGGGAGTGTAGCCTTCTCCACGTGCTGGACTTGAACTGACGCAGGAGGATCTCTGCTGCCAGGAACAGCTTCCAACCTGCAAACATCCACAAACGGTGCCCCGCGCTTCTGCGTGGTGTGTCCGCTATGGAGGCCAGAGCAGCCACGAGCGCACGGCGCATGCTAGCCGTCATGAAGCGGGGCGCGCGTTGCAGAGTAGGCATACGCACCTAAAACTGTTGGAAGAGGTCGATGTCATCGAGAGCGCCAACTCTCAGCCGCATGGTACACCTTCACTCGGCAGGGAGAGCCAAGCTTTCACCGGACAGCATCCTATAACCTCCTTTGATTTCGTAATGTACTTACCTAGTCGCTAAATCCCCATATCATTCCGGTTCCCAATTCATTTTCCATGTAGGCCCCTTCCCATTTGATTCTCCAGTATGTCCCAACCCTCAAACCCAACAGATCCCTGCAAAACTCTCTCTCTCTCTCTCTC